ACCTGCTCCAACACATCCCTGTCCTTCCTGTGTTGGGGCCCCCAGAGCTGGGCACAGGACTGCAGGTGGGGTCTCACGAGAGCAGAGTAAAGGGGCAGAATCCCCTCCCTCGACCTGCTGGCCACATTTCTCTTGATGCAGCCCAGGATACAGTTGGCTTTCTGGGCTGCAAGCGCACATTGCCGGCTCATGTTGAGCTTCTCATCCACCAGTAACCCCAAGTCCTTCTCCTCAGGGCTGCTCTCAATCCACTTTCCACCCAGCCTGTACCTGTGCTTAGGATTGCATATTCACTTTTATTAGCAAAGTGATTTAGTAGCACATGAAAGAAAGATCACACTAAAGAAAAACCTTTTGCAAACATTTCACCATTTAACTAGTTTGTCATTGGTCATTGGTTTGGTGAATTGAGCCAGACAAGAAAAAAGAGCTGAAGACCTATAAGTTTGCCTACACAGGCAGTAAGACCAACTTTCACAGTGTAGTTTTTCCTGCTTTAATACCACTAATCAGTCTCTGACATATTTTTAAGGTGCTCATGCACTGCCTTGGATCATGCTTTTCTCTCCAAAAAAATAACTCCAAAAAGTTATCAGCATAGCACATGACATAGCCAACCATAATCATATTTCATTGGGCCATATGAGTACATGCTATCACTGCACACAAAAAAAATCTGGAGTATCAGAGTTAATGCTTTCGTCTTCCATATAAAACCAATAGCTACAGCTATGTAGTTATACTGCAATATATCATATTAATATTTCTAGAAGATAAAATATATACAGATTCAATGTATTAAAATACTGGTCTTCATTTTATACATGCCATCAGCTACCAAGAATGTGCCCTTGATCCCTTTAAAACAACAGTGGGCAGAGGAAGGAGGAACCAAGAAGCTTTTATGCCTTGAACCAGCAAGCAGGGTGCATGTGAGGGTAGTGGCGGTGGAGGGGTAATAAAAGTTGTTGCAGTATTCATTAATTTTTAATTCCAAACTTAAAAAGCTTGCATGGCATTCCACCAATTTTAGAAAATTACACAAGAGCTGAACAGCATTTGAGTCAGTCAGTGTAAGTTTATTTTATGGTCTAGAAAATTTAGATTCAGTAGAAAAAAGCTCTTAAGTCAAAGATGGAGCAGACAAGAACCATCTAATTAGTTCTTTTACACATGTTCCACTGCCAGTTCAGTTGATTTACTACAGAAAGAAGCATTTTTCAAGTGCTGCAAATTCTGTAAATTCAAAGGCACTGAGGAAAATTCTGGAACCTATTTCACCTATTTTTGTACCTTTTCAGCTTGGAGCTACAATAATAGGACAAATGCTTCATGTATGTGAGCAACAGATAAATGTTCTTAATACTTTCATGAAAGAGTAGGGAAGATCACAGTTTTTCCTTTAGTCATGTATTTCAAGAAAACATCTGACAAATGAAAGGAATCACACTAGCATATTTGCTTTACGGATAAACATGCACTTAACTCATACATGCCCCTTTGTGTTTTAGCCATCAAATGAGTTTAGATGAATATGCGTTATTCAAGGGTGAGATCACATTTTCCCCATGCAGAAGCCTTGTCTCACAATAGCATATGAGCACCTTAAACATCCTGACGTCACTCATTTAAAAGGGATAATAGACACAGGACTTCGCTCTTTTGGCTGGTTTAATTACCCCAAAAGGATGCCAGGCCAGACTACATGGTGCTTCTAGGTTCACTGTACTGCATGCGTTTCTGATAAATGGGAAAAGAATAGATGACCTGGCAGAAGGCTCAGACAATAACATGTGATTTACAGGACATGAATACAGCTACTACAAGATTTATCTGACAGCCCTCTCCGATAGTGGACTGTTGAGTATCCGATGGAATGATTTCTAGTCTGGAAAGTCTGCTACTGAGTAGCCATACACATTATTTATTTATTAGATGTTTTGGGCTGAAACCGTTTTTAAATGATGCACTTCACAATGCTCAGCCATAAATTTAGTTTTAAACCCTGGAAGGGAGGTAGTGTTATTGGAATGTGTGTCAGACTGAATTAGGACGAGCAACACAATGCTTTTATAGAGTGGCCTTGAATGCAACGTCGATTCTTTCAAAAATGATATTAATGTCAAATAAGCAGGAACACTTTGCAGTAATATTAAATGAAGGTTTTCTTTATGTTTTGATAGATTTATATAAATGTAAGTGTATACACAGAGACACATCTCCAAATGTAGTGTGTCTATCAAAACACACGTGTGTTTGTCTTAGAAAAAGCCTTTTGTCTGTATCTCAAACCACCTGTTTCTCTTTTTGCCTTGTGTTAAATATAAAACAATATATCAACATATAAACACAAAACTAAAACACAAAAGCAATCATCTTTTTCCATATGGCTAAATAAATAAACTTTAAGCAAGAGACAAAATTAACCAGGTGTCACAAATAGTTTCACAGAATAGTATCTTCTGAAATTTTTTTTAAATCACTTCACCTGGGAAAGAGCTTTATTTTCACAATTTTATGAAAAAAATTACTTGTGAGATATTATTATTCCATTTTGCAGTTCTGAGAAAGAAAAAACATCTTCAGACACAAATTTAAATAAACATCAGAAAAAAATTCAGATGTTTCAGAAAGATAATCCAAGTGCCTACATCACATAATGTTTAAAACAAATTTTCAGAAAGAGGTTAGCATAAAAAACACTAAAGATATTAATCATAGCAATCTTTCAATTTCATAAAATGATGTCTGACAAATTTGTGAAGTTTTAAATCAAATTTGCAGATACTTACATTGTAAATATACCACATTATTTATGTGATTAAAAACTAGTTTCTGACCTGATCTATTGATCTTTGGCACTTCATCCTCTCCATCTCCTCTCAAAAATTAATTAAAATTTTAGCAAAAGGGCAGCACTTCACTTCCTACCCTATCTTGGGGGGAAAAAAAAAAAAAAAAAGAAAGAATTAAAAAAAAAAAAAAAAATAAATAAAACTCAACCTCATCTCCCCCCAGTATTGTAAAGTGTTGGCTTGAAATTCAATTTCGTATCTCTCAAGCTTTCATGTAGCAAAAGACAGTTCACTTCTTAACAAAATAAATCACTTCTGTGATTGCCATGCTGACCTCTTTGAATTAGGAAAATTCAAAGTGAAAAATGTAATTATCACTCCAGAACAATCTGTATACATCTGGAGCTAATTTTAGATTCATTTCTCACATCATTTTTCATATTCTGCCAAAAACTATAGCAGCTATGTAACTTTCAAAAGACTTTGAGGTCTTTGTGATGTTATTGGTTTGTTCCTACTATTTCACAAAGAACAACCTCAGTCTCTGCAACTACCAGTGCTAAGCAATCACAATATCCTCACTTTGATTAGATTAGCATTAAGTGGCATTGTGACACATATGACAAATAGATGCATTAGAGCACGTCATTTATTCCTTATCATTTCCACTTCCCAAAATCAAATATGTGACATACAGTACAGAGCACAACATGATTTTAGAAAAGATTAGATTACCCCACCAAAAAGGTAGGAAATGTCAACCACTAATTACTGATACAAGCAGCAAGGATACTGAAAACTAATTTTTAAAATGGTAATACCAAGTTGTCAGGCACGTATTTAATACACAGATTAGTTTTACTATAACACATTAACAAGTGAACAGTAAAACTCATATATGGATTTCTTGGTAGCCAGGATTCTAAATTAAATCAGCAGCAAATTTGTATTCTAGAATAAATCATGAACAATGTCCACTCCGAGTATTGCCATATGTAAAATAACCTTCACTAAATTCCAAATGTCTCATAAGGAATATTAAATTCCTTTCAGGGCAAAAATATATTATATTTCCTGACGAAGATGGAAAACTAGATGAGCAAAGTTCTAGATACATTCATTAATAATAAGCTCACTAGAAAACATAACTACTCTTCACTAGTTCATTATAAAATCCATAAGGTGTAATCTCCAGAAGTAATTGTTCTTCTTGCACTTAATTGACAATGCAGACTATCGATTTTTCACACCTTCTATGATTCTTTCATTTATATTCATGAAATGTCTATCAGCACACTCTAAATAAATTTGGCAATATAGGCACTAAAATGAGCAAATCGATGTGAAGAAACATTAATTTTGCATTATCCTTATTCGTCAGGCAAGCAAACTATAAGGGCTGTACATGAAGGTCAAAGGTTTTGAAATGGGTCAGAACCCTTGACCTCCAGACCAATACCATTCCCACTAAAAAAGGCTATTTTAAAGTTTTAAGTAGGGGAATTTTCTACCAAAAAGGTATCATTTTTAAGGCAACAAAAGAAACACTCAATAAAAACAGTCTTCTGTTTATTTATAGAATAGAAATCAAGAAACCCAAAACAAAGATCCAATTAATATAGCATATATACAATTTTAAGATAGTTCCTTAGGTGTTGACTCTTTTCTAACTACTGGAATGGGCAATTCTCAGGTTCTTAAATATCTAAAATCACTTTGCCTTAGGAATGTAGAATGCCCCAAACTGCTGACAACCAGGGTTGCTTTCTATAATTTTTCTCAATTCTTAGTACTTGTCAAATCAATTAAGAATGACAGCATTTCAAAAGTATTTATTACTCATTTCATAACCTCTACACAAAAGGAAAAATTCCATTCACCCCAGAGGATTCAGCATGCCAAGATGCAGAAATCAATCTGTTTCTATAACCTTAATATTTTATTTAGCCTATTTTATCTTACAAAAATGACAGCAGAGAATTACTTGGGCACACCACCATCAAGGTTATGTAAATGCTAAACAGCAAGGTAACATAAACCCCTTAGTATCTTCTCTCTCCAACTAAATAGACAGAATTATGATGATTTTTTTTTCTCGAAAGGCCTTGCGCATAATGTTTTTACACATAACCTTGAAGTCAAATGTAAAGTAAAATTTTAACTGTAATTTCCATTGTGCTCAAAGAAAGCTCACTTAAACCTCACCTGAGAGCAAAGAAGCATCACCAGCTCCACAACTGAACTGCTAGATTTCATGCAGACAAGACCTACAAAAGGAAAAACGTTATACATATAAATGCACGCCTATATGGCACCTGCTGCTAACACAAACTATTCTGAAGTGCAATAGATTAGAAGCATTCTGAAAATCAAAAGAAAGCTGAAATTCTCATATCACTTCCAGTTCAATTTTGTACTTTCATCAGCACAAAAGTATGTATGTGAGTGACATCATAAATTCCATGTCTTGCATCTAACAATGCAGCTAATAGTAATACATTACCTCCATTATTCACAGTTTCATAAATGTTTGCCTGTCAAAATCATCAGAAGTGTGCTTAACATGTTGTATTAATCCACTGTATCTACATTTTGCTGTTTCTTGAAGGATTGGGTCATTATATATGCAGAGAAGGGAAGTGGCTTTATGACCTTTGCTTTCTCCATTGCGCATTCTCCTTTCAGCCCCCAGCTATCAATCAAGTTTCCATTTTGTTTCATGGCAGCAGACATCCCAAACACTCTTATTAGTACCTTGACCCTTAACCCCACACTAAACCTTACCAGAAGTGCAAGCAGTAACCTATTATATATTCTCAATTGTTTATAAACTAATTTGACTACTATTATTACTTGCCTTTTGGTTTGGCTTTATCTACAACCGGGTTTTATGCCCAAAAATCGGTTTCATGTGTTTATTTTTGTCTAGACAGTTCATACACTTGCAATAATTTTCCTGTTTTTTTTTGGTCATCAAATCTATGAAATACTCATCTCTCTGTGTACATAATCTATATTACAGTCAAAATACTTTGAAACCAGATTATCTTCAGACAAGAAAAAAATGTAACTAAATAGGACATTTACTTCCCTTACAAAGTAAAGCTTTGAGAAAAATCTCCTTCCTGTTATTAAACGAATGAAGTAAATTTGTTCAAAAGGCAGCTTCCATTAAAACATTTATCAGCTAAAGCAATGCCCACAGGTATAATCAAAAGTAGAATGCCACCTTTTTCAGCCTTACAGAAGACGGTTCATACACGTCTTCCTACTCCAGAAGCAGGCAAGCTAAATTGCTAAACTAACTAATTTCAGTCAAGTTTAATGAAGTCTCAATTTTGATAATAGCAGGTAAAACACTCATCAGTGTTTGATACTCTAATTGTATTCCTGACAATGTTAACCGTATTCAGCACTACACACAGAATGTCTGTCCTAATCCATGAAATAACTGGTTTCAAAAAACATTTTTAAAAAAGAACTTTAATTCCCTAGGAAGCAACTAGACCTGTTAGGGCAAATACAGCTCACGTGCAAGCAATCAGCTCAGGTTAAGCAACCATGAGCTTCTAAGATGGGAGTGATTCATTGCTGGAAGCTGCAACAAGCTCAGGCCCTAATTCAATTCACCACTTTAACTGGACAAAACCTGCAATTTTTGCTCATACACAAGCTTCCAGGGACAGTTCCCTGGAAGAGTTGGAAAACCATGGAAGGGACAACAGCAGTTGGTCCCACATAATGAGATATAGGAAACTGTGAGATGAGATGGAAGCAAAGAGGTAGCAGAGATGGCAAAGATGAGGAGGCAATGACCTCGGAGCACTAAAGACAGAAGGAACAGGAGGTAGTGAAATCCAGTGGACAGCACTGTGTGGGGAAGGCAGGAAGAAAGCTTCTAAGGCAGAGCCACCAAAAAAAAAAAAAAAAAAGAAATTATCTGGAAAAAGTAAAACAAAGCACACATGAAAAACCTTTTTTTAAATGGAAACTTACTTGTACCTTCTATCAGCAACTCCTGCCCATGGCTGCCCAAAAGAGTCCGAGAAAGAAAGGGAGCAAAATCCACAAAAATCTCTCTCAGAAGTGGGGCAGCTTTTTCCAAAGCATGTTCAAGCCTGTCTGTAATACTAGTAGAGAGATACACGTGATTAACAAGAAAAGAAGAAAGTTGCTGAAATTTTGTAGAAAGGAGTACAGTTTTTGGCAATGTTTAAGCAATATACATGTATTGGAAAGAATCAGTAATCCCACACTCATGTTTTCCCAAACCTCAGTTAGGTATTGAACATCAGCAAAACTGCTTTGGCAGGAGGGTTGGACTAGATGACCCACAGAGGTCCCTTCCAACCCCTACTATTCTGTGATATTCTGTGATATTCTGTGATTCTTAAGTGATGTGGAATCAGAATATCAATTGTAATATCAAAAATGTGAGCCACAGCACAGCTGTTCAGATGTTCAAGCTAAGAAGTTACCTCATATTTGAAGCAGAATCCTCAGGCACTGTAGAAACTGTAGGGACAGATGGCAATTTTGAAATAGATGATCCCCTTCCTACAAGAGAAAGCAGTAAATAAATGAATTATACACAAACACATGCCAGAGGTTAGACAACTGGACCAGAAACTGAAGCCTTGAGCTCCATCTCTGAGAAACCACGGTTTTCAAGGGTTTGTGAGGACTAGGTAAACCCTTCCACCCCTCTGTACCTCAAATTTTTTTGCCATAAGACTCCTATTTACTTACATTCATATTTACCAGGTATGCCATGGCAAGCTTTTTAGATTTTGCTCCAGCACAAACAGAAAGTAATTCCAGCAAGCCTTGCAGTTTGCTTTGTGAACCAGGAAGTCAGACTAGAATGCAGTGGTCCCTTCTGGCCTTATAAGCCACGATTCTCTCTGAACAAATTTAACACTTATAACCTTAAGCAGTAAATACAAATAATGTCTTATGCCCTTAATATTGCTGTAGTGCACAAATATACACTAATACAAAGCCAAATGGCAAGATTTTACAGCATCTCTTTTGGTTACTCATCCAATTTCAAGTAACTTGCACAGAAAACCATTATTTTTTTGTCTAAAATTAAAACATATTTGTGTCAAAATGAAGCAGAATACAAAATGGGTGGGTATTTTCAACAGCCTAGCTTAAATTTTTGCAACACTGGGACTCTTGACAAAGACAACTATGATAAAATTCTGAACTGCACTGCCAGCATCATTAGCATGATGGCAGGGTATAACCTCATTCTCTAACTTTGCCACATCAATTATTCAAAGGTTGATAGGGAAGACAGGGTCATTTATGTATCCTACACTTACAAAAAAAAAGCAATTGTGTTATGTCTAATTGACATTACATGGCTCTCATCAGCAGAGTAGGAATCTGTAAATACTAAATTCTGCTGTTCAGTACATAGAGAAATACAACCTCCATACTGCAGTATGGATTGGTATTAGCAATGATGAATTGGGGATAAACAAGACAGCCAGAGATTTCACAGATATTTGCTACAAGGATAGGAATGGTGACTCACAAATCTTGCACTGCATTCCAAACTATCAAGAGGAATGAATCTTTGCAGACAGATTTTTGTGCATTTCCCAAGAGCACGACTGCTTCTAGTCCATCTGCAATCCTATCTCTTTCCAACCTTAGACCCTGTCCTATTCTCTTTTCTCTCACCTCACTTGTTTCAGATTCTTCTGCTGCTGGAAACAGGGGAAGGAGAAAAAAAAAGGGGGGGGGGGGGGAAAGGCATAAAAAAAGAGTATAATCATTTCAGTTCTTACATCTACCTTAGCGAAGACATGATCCTTCTCAGAACAATTTCTGATCCTCCCACATACACTGGAGTGAGCTCAGTTAAATGCAACCTGTCTGGAAACCAGCTGCTAAGATCTTGCAAGTGTCTACCAAAATGTGTCAACTGCAACTTTTCAAAAGTCTTTCTACTTGACTGAAGTGGAATAGATTTGTAAAAAGACGGCGAAGACAGACCTTTGAGATACTAAGTTTATTTCTCCTGTCAAATTTCAAACCTTTGCTCCAAAACACTGGCATATGGTTTCATCCTAGAAATGTTGGTTTGGGTTTGTTGGGGTTTTTTTTCTTCTATCTGGGGAAGGTGTTCTTCTCTTATCGTGTTTCAAAGGTAGCACAGAAACTAATATATTTAACTAATGCATCAAAAAGGTGAAAAGTTTTTATCTTATTTTTCTTTCTCCATAGGTAGGAGATATCTTTGTGAACGTGATTCACTTGCACTTTTCATAAATTCAGCATGAAGCTCTTTTGACCTTTGCATGGGATAATGGTCAGAAAGAAATTTTGAGTGGACCATACAAAATGAAGGACAAGAAAGTGAAGAACAAAGCATTAGCTGAAATCCAGGTGGAACCCGAATCTTCTGGGCATTGTTTCCTAACTAATTTATCTAATAAAGGCAAATCAAAGATATATTTCTGAAAATTTAAATGGTGATGGCTAGATTCTGTAAATATTTTCAATATTTTCCCAGATATAATTCAATTTCATTAAGATCTAGTTTCACACAGTCAAACCACCAAAAATTACTTTGGATATTTCCAAAGGAAAAGCAGTCAAATGATGTGCCATAAATTAGAATGCAGCCTCCTGTACAGCAGAAAACAAAGCCTACAGAAGGCAACAAGCCACATGATTCAGCGGTTCCAAAGACTCCAGTTGTTTTGGGGATACTTAATAGATACAGGTATAGGGGGGGGTTGTTTGTGGGTTTTTTGGTCTTTTTTTTTTTAGTTACATATGCACAATATACTGCCTGTTGGATTAAGACTTTAAAGCAATTATGTCATTTTCATGACAGCCTTTATATTTAAATAATTTCACTAGAATTCCCAGCTTTCTCCCTTAAGCCCAACACCCCTATTCTCGCTAAATAAGTCCCTCTAATTTAAGAATATTCTGAAGTCCACATGCCCAGTAGTGGACTTAAGCCCACATACCGTCCATTAGGGAAAATCAGCAAACTGGTCTCGGTAGTTCAACAGAATACAAAACTGAAATGGCATCCAAAGCCTTCAAAATAAGAAAGTCCTCTCAACATGCAGATTGCACACACAGTCTTGTTATAGAAATGCCTGCATGCTTTTTACTACACATAAAATCTGTGACCAGCAATCCACTAACTATTGGGTATGTTAGAAAGTGAAAAGTATATACAACTAAAATCCCACCACATTAAATGCATAGCAAAATCAAGGATCACTTTATCAGTAAAAAATAAGACTTTAACAGTGCAGCACAGTAGCATGAGTTTTACAGTCAAATGAGATAAAAATAATTCAATACAATATTTAGGCCACTAGCAATAACTGAAGGAAAAACGAGAAAAAATTATCAAGGAAAACATCTGCAAGGACAATGAAAGGGCATAATAGCCATCAGGAGGCTAACAGACATACACTCAGTCTGGGGTAACTTGAGTTTCTGTTGTTTGTTTTCTTTTGTGGGAGGGGTTGGGGTTTTTTCGTTTGGTTTTCTGTTTTTACACACAATTGCACCGGTGAAAATGGTTAGAGTGGCAGGTAAAGGAAATCATTGACAACACAGATAGGACATGATTTTTTTTCTTCTTGAAATCCAAACAAATTGCGCATAACAGATTAGGTATAAATACAAAACTCTATGAAGTTTTAAGTTAAATACAACTTTTAAATATAGACATAACAGAAAAAGCACTGATAATTTGAATTTGACAACAGCATAAGGCAGGCACCTATATAAACTGATCTTCTTTTTGAAGATTATGTAAGGATATTTATGGCCTGAATTTATTCATGCTTATCATCACCAAACCCACATTCCAGACTCCGATATATTTCACTAAATGGGGTAAATCTCAGATTTATCACAGCTGAGAATTTCATGGTTTTTTTAGATAGGATTAGGCATAGTGATTTTTGCATTCTAGTTTTTGTTTTGTGGAAGTACTTTTTTGACTTTATTTCACTCAGAAGTAGCTTTTTAGTCTAGTATTTTTTCTGCCATTGGTAAAAAAAATGAAAATACTTCAGTAGCGTATTTTCATCCACAACACACATGTGGGTAAGTGCAGTAGCTACTTCAAACATGTGGAACTAAACTGACTTATCTCTTCCTTATCCTCTCACTGATAAACTGGCTCCTTCAAACTGACAGTTTTAGAGACATTTGCAAGAACATAAAAGAAAATGCAAATAGATCATCTGTCTAGCACCCTTACAGTGAAACCTTATTGTTTATTCAAGGTTCCCAAGGGTCTAAAGAAATAATGTCTTTAGCAATAAAATATTGTTAAAGAAACTGCTTGTGCAAGATCCTCATGCTTTTGCACATACACTCACAAAGTACGCTTGGCAATACACAAGCAGTGCATGATATACTTTACTCTGGAAGGATGGAGATGAGGTAGAAAAAACAGTGAGTTGAATTAAATAACCATACCTCTTAATTTTGTACAACAGACTTACCATACACAAATACACTGATGCCCTTTATGAAAGGAGTGTCTGGTAAAATGACGACCCCATTCAAAAATACACTTCCAGGGCTAGCAGCGTACAATGCAAGACTACAATGAAAGGTTTTACAAGCTAATATAAGGAATCTGGTACATAAACACATCTGTGAGTTAAACCAAAACAGATTTCACAAGACAGTGGTTTCTCTAAAGAGAAGTTGTTTTAAAACAATTTTCACATTGAAACAGTTTTAAACCATTTCTACTGCATATCATTAGCATTTTGAGATTTTTAAGTGTCATTCTGCTTTGGTGACTAGCCTTCAACTACTGCCACTGTGAAGTTGGAGTTCTCTTTGAAATAGTTACTACAGTCCAGTGAATTTCTTGAACTACCTCTGCACTGACGGTAACTCACTTCACATTTGTTTTTCTTACTTTAGCTTGTCTCCCACAAACTTCTATTACTGCAAGACTTCAAGTTTATTTTCACCTATGTGCAAAGATTAACGAATACCTTTGTTCTTTGCAAA